CATAATTTCAAATATTTCAGGATAGAAGCTCGGAATAGGCTTAGTCCGGAAGACAACACTTAACAAATAAGCCTTTGCACTCCAAATAAGTGAGTTAAGAGGTCTAATTATCCTTGCACTTGAACACTTTAAGAACATCTTCAATTTATTGAGTACTTCATAAGCTTCAAGAGATTTAACAATGAATTGAGATAATTTCAATTTGCTATGATTCAATCAAGGACAACTAAACCATATAAATTGAAATTAACAAAAACTGTCACCTGCTGGATAGCCTATGATCTATAAGAAATTCTTAATGATTCATATAAAGGTATACAAATATTTTATCTAAAATGTAGACTGTTTGCCATTTTCCCTTGGAAATATCTTAGTGAAAGAGTTAAACAAAATCGAAAAGTTTTGTAGAACTTTAAGTGGTTTATTTTAATAGACACAATAATATAACAATTAGAAATTTTATTAGATGCAAAAGCTATGAACTGTGTAACTTATAGCCTATCAGTTCAAGCTGCAAAAATCAGCTTATTTTGAGAGTGTTTTTTCTCAAAAGTGCTTTTTTCAAAAGCACTTTTGGTAAGAAGTAGTTTGGGTTTAGCTAATTTATTTGAAAAGTACTTCTGAACAGCAATTAGTGTTTTGTCAAGCTTTTAAAAACTGCTTCTAATATCCTGTTTGGCCAAGCTTCTCCAATCCTAAAAGCACTTTTTTGAAAACAGTTTGCGTTTGGCTAATTTATTTGAAAAGCACTTCTGAGCAACAATTAATGTTTGGCCAAGCTTTTAAAAACTGCTTCTAATAGCCTGCTTGGCCAAGCTTCTCCAATCCTAACAACACTTTTTTTCTTTCAAAAAAGGTTTTTTTTTTCCCAAAGTTGAAGTGTTGCCAAGCTTTTGGAAGAAAATAAAAATATTTCTCAAAATAAGTTGATTTTTGTAGCTTGGCCAAGCAGGCTATAAGTGTATTTTTCTCAAAAATGCTTTAAAAAAAAGTGTTTTTGGAGAGAAGCTATTTTTTTCTGCTTCTCCAAAACTTCTTTTGTTACTACTCAAAAGCATTTTTTTCCCTCTAAAATCTAGGCCAAGCACTTCAACTCTGGAAAAAATCACTTTTTTTAAGCTTGGCCAAACGAGCTATTATTCTCTATAGTTGGACTTATCATATACTCCTTAGACTATTTAAACTCAAAACTTCGTTTACATGAGTTAGTACTAAAATCCAGCACTCTAATGAACCAAATAACAGAGCAAAAGAAGAACAGTAAAAATCATGAGAGAAATACAATATTAATTGCAAAACAGTTGGAGAGCAACTGTTATACCATGTTCACTTTTTAACATGAAGCACATTATAAGTATGAGTACAATGAAAACTTTCATTCTGATGGTGAATTCAATTTCATTTGTGAAATTATTTTCTAGCTTGTAGTTGTATACTTTTAAAAATTATTTTCACTACACTCATATTCTGTATCGCTTACTCCCATCACATATAAATATCATATCCGATGTTTACTATTTGTGATTATCAATGAAGCTTGCGTTCCATTTCATTAACTCTGTTCAACCAAGTAGGGAAAATGACTTGGCAACTAATATCTTTAAGTAAAATATGTTCTAACACAATACTTTGCACACATACACATATTGTCGCTTGCTCGTGCAATACTGATAGGGGTATGTGTGCGTGGGCATATAGGAATATAACCCAATTAAAAGCTATACAAAACCCACAATATATGCCTAATATTAGTCCACACCTAATTAATGTTCACCTATCAAGTTAGCATCACCTTGGCAATAGTCGTTTGATGTCACTTTCATCAATTGCCTGCCCCCTGCCCCTTTCTCTTTTTTCCATTACGACCAATCTTTATTCTGCTGCTCTAGAATCTCCCTCGAGTTCATACTTTCTCTCCCTGTAAGCATGCAAACGATCTGTCTCACATCTTGATAAATAAAAAAATATATATGAAATTCTAAATTGAGTAAAAATTCTTTAAAACAAAGCTGAGGAAATAAAATGAAAAACAATGAAATCACATAGAGGAAAAACACGGACAAATCTCACATAAGCTTACCAGTCAACAAAATGGGAATTCAAAGTGCAACAAGTGGTAGAAATCAAGTTGTACTAATCTAATCAGTGTCCATTTATAAAAAGCTTGATTGATTGCAGAGAAGTGGTCAACCGACTTGCTGAAGCTATCTTTCTTTCATTGGAGAATTTTATCAAATACATTGGAATTTCATCAAACATATTGGTTGCATTAAAGCTCTTCCCTTGTTAGTTTATTTTTCTTCCAATGGCAATTTCCTGTAGCCGATGTCGGAGCAGTTAGGTTACTGAACTTAAAGAGGAATTTTAAAAAATAACCACAGAAAGAATCCATAAAGGAAACATGGCGAAAGAGAGAAAACTTATTATCAGAATCAGACACACTTAACTGAAACCAATAAAACATAAACGCAAATATAAAATCAGAGGCAAAATAAAGATTGTAAATCACATAATCAAGATTCTAAATCAATCATCTCTAAATAAAATAGAATCAAATGTTCATATGCTCATCAAGAAAAAGGCACTTAGCACAACAAAACTAAGCAGAACTTACTGATCCACATACAAACCGGAAAAATAGAGAAATTTTGAAATGAATCTAGAAGCCAAGGCCAAACGCAGCTGGATCGGAAGAGATAAAAACAAAGGATGAATGATTAAAAGAGAAAATAGTTTTATAGCTGAAAATTTTGAGTAGGAGGAGACCAAATTTTTCATTGAAGACATCTAGTGGAATAGTTTAATTATATACATAGAAGATAAATTACCTCTTCATCATGTAACATAAGATTCTGAAATTTTATCTTTTCCCTCGTGACTTTCTCGTTCTCAACTTCCATTTAGAACTTAAACTTTGCATGTCCAATTAGGTGTAGATGATATTATTTGATTAATATTGCTATTTTATGCCATGATGTTGTTGGGTGTGCAAACAAAGTCCCACATTGGTAGCTGAAAAGAATGGGAGTCAACATATAAGGTGTAGAGATCTCTTAATGGTGTGAGGCCTTTTGGGAAAAACCGTGCGGGCTTGGCTCAAAGCGGACAATATCACACCATATTAAGAGCGTACTTGGGCTAGTTTAGCCTAACAACTGGTATCAGAGCCTAGGTTCAGCGGAACGAGTATGGAGATGGCGGAGTGATGGTGCAGGGCGGTGCACACACAAGAAGAAGCTAGTTGCGGGCTTCGGTTGCCATAATACTCTAACAATGTGGGTGACACACAGTGAATCTTGAAAATTGACCCGTGGATCGTGGTAGTAGACCACGTGGAACTTAGTTCGAGGGGGAGATTGTTGGGTGTGCGAACAAAGTCCCACATTGGTAGCTGAAAAGATTGGGAGTCTACATATAAGGTGTAGAGATCTCTTAATGGTGTGAGGCCTTTTGGGAAAAACCGTGCGGGCTTGGCCCAAAGCGGACAATATCACACCATATTAAGAGTGTACTTGGGCTAGTTTAGCCTAACATCAAATTGTTAGGTGTTTGCCATAATTTTCTTACCATATTTGGTTTTCCTATCTCTTGAAGGAAAAGGGCAATATAATTACCTTAACTGGGTTTTTCTTTTTGTAAAAGGAAATTATAAATCTCCAATATTTGGCTAGTCCTTTTTCTTGTAGGAAAAGGTTTGGACTTCTATAAATTGAGGATCCTTCCTTCACATTCAGTAGCATCCACAATGTAGCCATAGGGGGCTTGAGAGTCATGTTTAGGGGGAGAACTTTACGGGACAAGTGTTAGTGTGTCACTTGTGTTTGCCTCTTCGTGAGGTTGTTCTCTCGATATTTTGTACATTTTTTTTATAGTGGATTGCTCATCTCCGTTGTGGATGTAGGTCAGTTGACCGAACCACGTTAAATGTTTGTGTCTCTTTTGGAATATTTCTCTTGTGTTGTTTGATTTATCATCGTTCAAGATTTGCTTTGCTAGCTCCCGCATGACACCTGATTTTTCGGTCCTAACAAGTGGTACCAGAGCCAGCTTCGAGCGAGGTTCAAGATAGGTTCATCTTGGCGTGTTCAGTTCTAGCTGCAACATATTTGACGATAATCGTGATTTTTTGTCTGAGAAATTTGACCGGAGTGCTACGCACGTTGAGACAAACTTTGTGGCGGAAATCTGGAGATGCGACCTGTTGAAGGCTATGTGAAGAAGGTGAATCAAGTTTATTTATAAAAGAAAATTATAAATCTCCAATATTTGGCTAGTCCTTTTTCTTGTAAGAAAAGGTTTGGACTTCTATAAATTGAGGATCCTTCCTTCACATTCAGTAGCATCCACAATGTAGCCATAGGGGGCTTGAGAGTCTTGTTTAGGGGGAGAACTTTACGGGACAAGTGTTAGTGTGTCACTTGTGTTTGCCTCTTCGTGAGGTTGTTCTCTCGATATTTTGTACTCTCTTTTTATTATAGTGGATTGCTCATCTCCGTTGTGGACGTAGGTCANCAAATATTTTATCTAAAATGTAGACTGTTTGCCATTTTCCCTTGGAAATATCTTAGTGAAAGAGTTAAACAAAATCGAAAAGTTTTGTAGAACTTTAAGTGGTTTATTTTAATAGACACAATAATATAACAATTAGAAATTTTATTAGATGCAGAAGCTATGAACTGTGTGACTTATAGCCTATCAATTGAAGCTGCAAAAATCAGCTTATTTTGAGAGTGTTTTTTCTCAAAAGTGCTTTTTTCAAAAGTACTTTTGGTAAGAAGTAGTTTGGGCTTAGCTAATTTATTTGAAAAGTACTTCTGAACAGCAATTAGTGTTTTGTCAAGCTTTTAAAAACTGCTTCTAATATCCTGTTTGGCCAAGCTTCTCCAATCCTAAAAGCACTTTTTTGAAAACAGTTTGCGTTTGGCTAATTTATTTGAAAAGCACTTCTGAGCAGCAATTAGTGTTTGGCCAAGCTTTTAAAAACTGCTTCTAATAGCCTGCTTGGCCAAGCTTCTCCAATCCTAACAACACTTTTTTTCTTTCAAAAAAGGTTTTTTTTTTTTCCCAAAGTTGAAGTGTTGCCAAGCTTTTGGAAGAAAATAAAAATATTTCTCAAAATAAGTTGATTTTGTAGCTTGGCCAAGCAGGCTATAAGTGTATTTTTCTCAAAAATGCTTTAAAAAAAAGTGTTTTGGAGAGAAGCTATTTTTTCTGCTTCTCCAAAACTTCTTTTGTTACTACTCAAAAGCATTTTTTTCCCTCTAAAATCTAGGCCAAGCACTTCAACTCTGGAAAAAATCACTTTTTTTAAGCTTGGCCAAACGAGCTATTATTCTCTATAGTTGGACTTATCATATACTCCTTAGACTATTTAAACTCAAAACTTCGTTTACATGAGTTAGTACTAAAATCCAGCACTCTAATGAACCAAATAACAGAGCAAAAGAAGAACATGTAAAAATCATGAGAGAAATTCAATATTAATTGCAAAACAGTTGGAGAGCAACTGTTATACCATGTTCACTTTTTAACATGAAGCACATTATAAGTATGAGTACAATGAAAACTTTCACTCTGATGGTGAATTCAATTTCATTTGTGAAATTATTTTCTAGCTTGTAGTTGTATACTTTTAAAAATTATTTTCACTCCACTCATATTCTGTATCGCTTACTCCCATAACATATAAATATCATATCCGATGTTTACTATTTGTGATTATCAATGAAGCTTGCGTTCCATTTCATGAACTCTGTTCAACCAAATAGGAAAAATGACTTGGCAATACACATATCTTTAAGTAAAATATGTTCTAACGCAATACTTTGCACACATACACATATTGTCGCTTGCTCGTGCAATACTGATAGGGGTATGTGTGCGTGGGCATATAGGAATATAACCCAATTAAAAGCTATACAAAACCCACAATATATGCCTAATATTAGTCCACACCTAATTAATGTTCACCTATCAAGTTAGCATCACCTTGGCAATAGTCGTTTGATGTCATTTTCATCAATTGCCTCCCCCCTGCCCCTTTCTCTTTTTTCCATTACGACCAGTCTTCTCCCTTGAGTTCATACTTTCTCTCCCTGTAAGCATGCAAACAATCTGTCTCACATCTTGATAAATAAAAAATATATATATGAAAGAAACAAATCTAAATTGAGTAAAAATTCGTTAAAACAAAGCTAAGGATATAAAATGAAAAATAATGAAATCACATAGAGGAAAAACACGGACAAATCTCACAGAAGCTTACCATCAACAAAATGGGAATTCAAAGTGCAACAAGTGGTAGAAATCAAGTTATACTAATCTAATCAGTGTCCATTGATAAGAAGCTTGATTGATTGCGGAGAAGTGGTCAACCGACTTGCTGAAGCTATCTTTCATCAAATAAATTGGAATTTCATCAAACATATTGGTTGCATAAAGCTCTTCCCTTGTTAGTTTACTTCTCTTCCAATGGCAATTTCCTGTAGCCGATGTCGGAGCAGTTAGGTAACTGAATTTAAAGAGGAATTTTAAAAAATAACCAACGAAAGAATCCATAAAGGAAACATGGCGAAAGAGGGAAAACTTATTATCAGAATCAGACACACTTAACTGAAACCAATAAAACATAAACGCAAATATAAAATCAAAGGCAAAATAAAGATTGTAAATCACATAATCAAGATTCTAAATCGATCATCTCTAAATAAAATAGAATCAAATGTTCATATGCTCATCAAGAAAAAGGCACTTAGCACAACAAAACTAAGCAGAACTTACTGATCCACATACAAACCGGAGAAATAGAGAAATTTTGAAATGAATGTAGAAGCCAAGGCCAAACGCAGCTGGAGCAGAAAAGATAAAACAAAGGATGAATGAAGCAAAAATAGTACAGTACTTGATAAGAAAGGATTTTGAAAAACATGTGAGCATTGTGAGCTCTCTCCTTATCGTCTGTAGAACCAACATAGAGAGGCTGATTATTGCACAATTAAATTTTCATCTCAAGGGTGCTGCAGGAGTCAGTCTGGGCTGGGATAAACTTTTATGTCATTTCTTTTTTTTGGCTCTGATAATAGGTGAATTTGACTATAATCACACCTTAAATAATCACCTTCTTGTGTAGTTTTAATGCTAAAAGTGATGACAAAATGCTCTTATTAGTGCTTTTCATGATTTGTAGGTGATATATGTATAAAGACGGCTAAGGAGCAGTTTTGGAGTCAAAAGTGATGAAAAAGAGGCCAACTGTGAAATTTCCTAAGTGACCCGTGCAAAAACAGGCCGAAGATTCAGAGAACTGGATCTACCGCGGTTCCACCGCGACCGCGGCAGAACCGCGGTGGGAAGCAGCTGCAGAAGATTGAGATTCCGCGAGGGTGTTTGGCCGCGGTTCTACCGCGACCGCGGCAGAACCACGGCAGGCGCAGTAAACTTCAGGGACCAAAGTGTCAATTACGGGATTTTTAGACCTAAACCCTATTTAAAACATTAGACTTCGCCCAAGAGAGGCATGTATTGATTTTTTAGGTTTCTTAGCAAGGAAAAAGATTGGGAGAAAATACTCTAAACATCTTTCTTCTTTTCTTTTGATTTTATGATGAATTCAATCTTAGTTTATTTTCCCATAGCCATGAGTAGCTAAATTTCTTGTCTAAGGCTTTGATGGAACCTATTGGGTGATGAACTTCTTGTTTATGTGAATACAAATTGCTAGTTTAATCTTTATTTGTTCAACTTCGTGTTCGTTGTAGTTAATTGACAGGATCCTCAATTAGCTGTGCCTATTTAGTGTGCATAACTTGAAAAAGAGTGCATATTTAGGGTATTGTTGAACAACACCACTCCTAAATTATTAGAGGAATCTATAATTGCGGGTTTNATCTCCTCCCTTTACTAAAGTACTAGTAGTCGTACCCGCGCGATGCGCGGTTAATATTAAAAAAATATTTGTCACTTTGTTAATTTTTTGATGTTACATTTGGAATTATCACAATTATTTGATTATCCTATTCTATATAAATAGAATAGATATTGTCCAAATTTTAATAAATAAAATCTCCATTAAATTAAAGGGACTTATATAGTCCTCAAATAATTTTTTCGTAATATGTTTTTATTTATTATATTATCCAATATTTAGTATAATTATATTGTTAATAGAAATTATGACACTTGTCATTATAACATTTCTTTGCCTCTCCTATTATATATATATAGATGATATAGATTTCTTTGACTCTTCAATTATATATATTATCCATATATTATATTTATATTATATTATATATTATATATATAAATAGATTTTTTGTTCTTTTATTTTAAAATAATTTTAAAACTCCAATTTGAAACTACTCCCCAATTTGAATTAGTAATTCATTATTTTATTTAATTTGTTTTTTATTTTAAAATTATTTAAAAACTCCAACTTGAAACTACTTCCCGATTTGAATGGGTAGTTTTCTTCTCTTTTTTCGTTTTTTTATTGGTAATTTTTTTTTGGTTTTTATTTTAAAATAATTTAAAAAATCAAACTTGAAACTACTCCCACCCAATTTGAATGGGTAGTTATTTTTTATATATTTATTTTTCGTTGTTTTTTTATCATATTTAATTATACGATATCTATATTTATTAATCCAAATAAATTAATCAATTACTATATATATGTGGTAGTTTTATATTTTATTTTATTATTTTAGTTTTTCATATGTTATTATATATATAAATAGATTTTTCGTTTTTTTTATTTCAAAATAATTTTAAAACTCCAATTTGAAACTACTCCCTAATTTGAATTGGTAATTCATTATTTTTTATAACTTTGTTTTTTATTTTAAAATTATTTTAAAACTCCAACTTGAAACTACTTCTCGATTTGAATGGGCAATTTTTCTTCTCTTTTTTCTTTTTTTTATAGGTTAATTTTTTTTTGATTTCTTTTTTAAAATAATTTAAAAACTCAAATTTGAAACTATTCCCACCCAATTTGAATGGGTAGTTATTTTTTATATATTTATTTTTTGCTGTTTTTTTTATTATATTTAATTATAAGATATCTATATTTATTAAATCCAAATAAAGTAACCAATTAATATATATATATATATATATATATATATATATATGTTAGTTTTTTATTATATTTTATTATTTTCGTTTTTTATGTGTATATTATGTATAAATAGATTTTTTATTTTTTTTATTTTAAAATAATTTTAAAACTTCAATTTGAAACTACTCCCCAATCTGAATTGGTAATTCATTATTTTTTTTAATTTCTTTTTTATTTTAAAATAATTTAAAAAATCAAACTTGAAACTACTCCCACCCAATTTGAATGGGTAGTTATTTTTTATATATTTAATTTATATTTTTTTAATTATATTAAATTATAAGATATCTATATTTATTAATCCAAATAAAGTAACCAATTAATATATATGGTAGTTTTTTATTGTATTTTATTGTTTTCGTTTTTTATATGTATTTAAATTCAAAAATAAGTAACCAATAACTAATTATAAACTAAATAACTAATTAGTAACCTATTATGCCATGTGGCATTTTTTTGGGCTGCCACTTGGCTTAAGGAGAGGGCTTTTTCCTTTCCTTTTAATAATATATAGATATATTTAATTTATGTTTTTTTAATTATATTTAATTATAAGATATCTATATTTATTAATCCAAATAAAGTAACCAATTAATATATATGGTAGTTTTTTATTGTATTTTATTGTTTTCGTCTTTTATATGTATTTAAATTCAAAAATAAGTAACCAATAACTAATTATAAACTAAATAATTAATTAGTAACCTATTATGCCATGTGGCATTTTTTTAGGCTGCCACTTAGCTTAAGGAGAGGGCTTTTTCCTTTCCTTTTAATAATATATAGATATAGATATAGATATGATATTTAAACAGAACACGAAGACTTCCTCTGCAAATTTTTTTGCATGTGTTTGCTGTCTGCGCTTGTGGATGACCAATGATGATATGGTGAGGCTCAACTGTTTCCAGTACACCGATCTTCTTTCTTCATGTTGTTTTCCTCTTTGATCCATTGTGATTTGGAACTATTTATTTTCAATTTTCTAAGTAATATTTTTAACATCTTTCAATGAGGTTTCTCTGTTTATCTATTTGTCCACCTCTCTTCCCAAAATGTAGGTTTCTTCTTCAGTTTCTCTATTTGGCTGTCTCTGTATTTGGTTTTTTTTTCTTTTTTGTTTCTTATGAGTTAATTTTTAATTGATTTCATATGTATTTTTTGTTTCTATTTGCTTGCCGTATCTGGGCATTCTTTTTCTATAAACCTGGCAAGAGATAATTTGCTGGGCATTGATAAATCAGATATCTTCGTTAGATTTGGATATGAAAATCGAGCTTCCTATCCTGGGTGTCCTCAAAATCTGCCAAAGCAGATAAGAAATTTGCATTGTAGGGTTCAAATATAGATTCTAACACTGAAATTCCTCATAGGGTAAGCAAATTCGTAGTTTCCTATTCAGAACCCTTCTTCGTCCGTCACTGCTGGGGAAGCCAGTGTGTATGAGGAAGTTAATGTGGCCAATATATACATAGTGGTAGTGGTTTCTGTATCAATTCTATATTTTTGCTCAATTCTCGGCATTGAATTACACTGATTGATTTGTATAGAGATGGACTTTTACAGTTTGATATTGCCTTTTATTTTCTTTTACCTTCTTTTATATTTTATTGTTTGCTTATTCATGTAGAGCCTTTGTATTTCTCTTTTTTCACTAAATTTGCATAAAACCTGAGTGAACAACAACTCAGAAACCTATGGAGTTCTCAATTTTCTTTTTTACTTGATTCTAATGAGTCATCTTTATCATGAAAATTGCTCTGTTGCTTTCATTCTATTGCTCTAAGCATATTCTTTTAGAAGTTTATGCTTTATTGATATAATAAAATCATTAGTCTCCGATGTTTGTCCGCATATGCTTTGGAAGCTCTTGAAGAAAATTTCACAAACAAACCATAAATTTCACAAACATATTGTGATTTCCGGTCAGTGTTTTCTTAGTTGTCATTTTACATCCAGCAGTTTTATGCTTTACTTTGAATTAGCTATAAATTACTCTTCATCCACCAAAGACAATACAGAATGCCTTTGCATGAAAAGTTTGAACATTTCACCAGCAATTCATCTCCTTCCTTAAAAGTCCCTCTTGACACTAGGCTGCACCACATACTCAACAGTTAAAATAAGAATAATTCTATTGAAATTGGAATTAGGGTCTCCAAGTGAGATAAATGGATAAGTTCTAATGAACATCTAAAATGGATAGCCAGTGTTCTGAAATTTTTTTTTCTCATATTGATCTTGAATCCGACTTATTAATATCTGAAAAGTACTTTGGAAGTTGTATTTTACTTTTATAATGAATTAGAAAAGGTTTTGGGGTCATCTCAAGACTATAGATTATGGAAGACAATGTCAAAACTGCGGGAGTCGGGTATAGCTTATATAACTGCTTTAAAATTGAAAGGGGTCACCTGAGTACCATTGTGTTCCCATGAATCATATCCGTTCAATGAAACCAGAACATTTAATTTTTATGTATTCATAGCCTGGCAGAAAACTGTACCATTGGGTTTAAGCTTAATTTAAACAAAGTTGATTGTATACATAGAAGATAAATAAAATTACCTCTTCATCTTTCGAAAAAAAATTCTGAAATTTCATCTTTCTCTCATGATTTTCTCGTTCTCAACTTATGTCCAGTACTTTGAATTTTGCATGTCCTATCAGGTGCAACTGGTGTTATATGATTAATGTTGTGTACCGTGATGTTTTGATACCTGACACCTAATTGGACATGCAAAGTTTAAGTTCTAAACAGAAGTTGAGAACGAGAAAGTAAAAGATAAAATTTCAGAATCTTATGTTACATGATGAAGAGGTAAATTATTTATCTTCTCTGTATATAATTAAATTTTATTTAAACCAGCTTAAATAGATTTTCTTTTAGTCCAATAGTGCAGTTTTTTGCAATCAGTATTATGAGTACATAAAAGACTGGAGGTCTTGTTTTTATTGGAAGTTTATGATTCATGAGAATATAATGAATGCTTTGATGACCTCTTTTTTCTTTAAAGCAATTATATATGCTATCTGACTCTGTCGCTTTTGACTTTGTCTTTTATCACCTTTAGTAATGAGACGAATACAGCTTCCTTCTAATTAGTTGTAAAGTAGCATACAATTTCCAACGCATTTTTCAGATATTGATAAGTCCGATTCAAGAACGATATGAGAATAAGCTTTTTTCAAACAGCGGTTAATTCCATACAAACAACCGAAGTTTCATCTTGATTACTATTTCAATTCTTGAACTAAAATGTCATAGATATACTTTGAAAGACTGGAAGACCTTGCGGGCGAAACTGAGACTGCAAAGGCTGCTGGTGAGTAAGATGACCCTGTTGGTGTGACTGACTCTGCAATGGACCAGGAAATGCCTGTTGTTGACTGTATTGCCGAGACATTGGCTGTTGATTAGGCTGAATAGGATGTTGCTGAATTAAATGCCCTGCTTGTGGAGCAGGATAAAGGAGTTGGACCTTGAGAACGTACCAAGCCCCATTGCTTATTGGTGCGCAAAGGAGGTTGTTGAGGAACCTGACTATGAGATTGAATTGGAGGAATAGGCCCACTAGTAGGATGTGGACGTATTGGAGTTTGCTGTGTAAACCCTATAGGCATTTGATGCATGGGTTGGGGCTGTGGATAGGAATTGTACCCTGAAACAGCATTGGCTGTTGAATGGAGGGTCTGAGTCTGTCCATGAGCAGGTTGGCCAGCCTGAGGGGGGCGCAATTGGCCATGAGATTGTTGATGATATTGAACACTTATCTGCGGTTGAAGTTGTGAATGAGGTTGATGCACAAACGGCTGCGGTTGGGCTTGAGAAGACTGGGGGGGGTGAACCTGGGTGGGATGCTGCTGATACTGTGGCACCTGCACATGGTGTTGTGAATGAGGTTGCATCGGATAGGGCTGAGGATATGGCGGAGGCTGAGTAGGTGGCTGAGCATGAGAAGCTGGAAATATTTGTGATGGAATTTAGGTATGAGAATGCCCAGTAGGTGGAAACTACTGCTGTGGGTTGACTTGAACCTGGTTTTGATCTGAGCCATAGCTTGAACCTGTGGTTGAGTTGGCCCTTTAGGTAGAGCTTGCATTTGAGGTTGAGGTTGAGGATTCAATGGTTGCGGCTGGGGCTGGGATTGAGGCTGTCCTGGGATTGGGGTCTGGAGTTGTGCTGGTGGCTGCATGTAATTTGGAGGTTGTTGCTAATATTGTTGGACGGATTGTTGCTGATAGGGATAGTATTGTTGATAAGTTTGCTGTTGATAAGGATCATATCCAGCATATTGCTGAAAATACTGTTGATATTGTTGCTGATACCACTGATCTGAAGTAGGCACACCAGCTGAAGTTGTAGCAGGAGCCTGAGAGCTGGCACTTGTCTGCTGATTAGGATCTTGTCCATGAAGAAGGGAAGCAGTAGTGCTTTGAGGATTTGGTGTTTGAGAAGCTGGAATTCCTGAATGAGTTGTAGTCTGATTCGAGTCATCACCAGCAGCAGTTGTGGCTGCTCCAAAGCTAGGATTATCTTGGGCACCATTAGCTGCCTGTTGTGCAGGATATACACCCTGGATAGAAGATATACTAAGAAATCATTCCTTGTAGGAAAAGATGAGTACTACATATGCATGAAAAGCACTCACAGGACAACTCTGAGCATGTTCATGCATTTGTCGATGCACAATCTGGACTCCACATCTATTGCATATAACTGGAGAATTCCCAAAGGAACATCCAGAACAATGGGAAGTGCATTTAGACAAGGGACCTTCCCATGTGCATCCACTTATGTGATAGAGACAACGCACTTTAACTTTGCCTATGCTTTCAGCAAGCGTCTTGTCTGACTCGATAAGGGGCTGCAAGAAAAAGTAAAATGCAACACATTTGAAATACCATGAGTAGCAAAACCATCAGCAATTATCTAAAAGTACAATGTACAGGGAGCCCACTTTAGAGTCTGCTTCACTCACCAAGTATCCATCATAGGGATAGGCCCGGGTCCCATTGGCAACATGGGCCGAAGTTTTTCAGGACTCACTTACTTCAAAGATAAGCAATCAGCTGTATATGTAGTTGCAGAAGCATGACCTTTTAAGCAATGAAACAAAAGTAAGTTAAATGATGGTAGATCAATTTATGCATCAAATATACCTACATACACATACGCCATTATGCGCATTTATATGTATAAATAGAGGAATGTCTATGAGAAGGAAGAAAATATTTACTTTTTTTACCTTCCTCAGAAGCCAATGGAGGACAGAAATTGCAAGCACACTTTGTTTTCCAGCTTGGCTATCAGCTTCTGAAGAAGATAGTGCATTATTTGAATGATACAAGTGTCGCCGCTTTTTCATTAAGCTCTTTTAATTTAGCTTGCAGTTGTGATAAACATAATTGCTTTCTCTTACAGACATTTGTGCATATCAAGTATGACGCTGCATATATCCGTCAGCGTGAAAGGCGAGCGAGGTGAACTAAGTATAAAAATATAATTACCGGAGAAAAATATATAATTATTGGAGAACTGAGTACAAAGTGTTAAGCTTTAGTAGCATAACCCAGAACAACATACCAAAATAAGGAGATTGAAAAAAATAACAAGTCTAGAATTATAGTATTATGGGAACATTTAAAATTTTATAGTAGATGTATGATTTGGATCTTTATTAGAGGAAGGGTAAACATCACTAAAGCAACATGGATAACTGATCACCGAACGACACAATAGCCAAACAGAGAAAAGAAAATAATCCAAAAGGATTTTTGTATAGAAAGAAGAATAGTTTGTTAGGAAATGTAAGTCTTAGTAGTACTGTTATATAACGTACTAAAAATATTGGGAGAAAATGAGCATAAAATGTAAATTGACTCCCTACGATATAGTGTTGGGATATAATGAGAGAAACTATTATATACATTAAAACTGTTATGAAATACTTGATTATGGTGGATGTCCATAACTCCTAAGGGAGTAACACCCACTACTCTTCTCCATTAACCTCCCACTACTTCTTACCATTATGAATGTAACTCTCACACCTCCATGATCTTCCCCCATATTCTCAATAGTTAATACCATGTTTATGGAGTCCCTTTGTATTACCTATATCATCCTATAAATAGAGGGTTTGGGCATCACATTGTATACACTTGAATACATAGAAGAAATAAGATTCTCTCATCTCCCTCTCTACATTGTTGTCTATTTTATTGTTCTATATTGTTACTTTGAGCTAAGTTTCGTAACACGTTATCAGAACGAAGCTTTAATCAACCTAGAAGATATGAATAGTCGACAACCTTGAACCAATTTGGTTGAACCAATGGAAATATGGGCATTATTACGTATGCCATATTAATGTTTAGTTTGCCTCTATTGTCCAGGGAGTATTATTTTTCAATTATACCATAAATTGTGTATTTAACTTATGTTAAAATTTAAGATTTGTAGTTGCTTTGTTTAGAAAAACTAAGCTTTGATTTTAAGTTTTCATGCTCGTATGGCTATATATGTCCACTAACTTTGTTCCTAGTTCTAAGATTGATCTTATACAATTATAACATCATGCTATCATTGATTTTCCATGATATTAAAAGATCTTTGTGAAACATTAAAAAGTATCCTGGCAATGTTTTTAAGAGGCAGCAAATAAAGCGTATTACAGATATGTGTACTCTTTTTCCTTCACTGGGATTTTTTTCCCAGAGGGTTTTTTCCTAGTAAGATTTTAACGAGGCACATTATCTTTGGACATCCAAGGGGGAGTGTTATGAAATACTTGATTATGGTGGATGTCCATAACTCCTAAGGGAGTAACACCCACTACTCTTCTCCATTAACCTCCCACTACTTCTTACCATTATGAATGTAACTCTCACACCTCCGTGATCTTTCCCCGTGTTCTCAATAGTTAATACCATGTTTATGGAGTCCCTTTGTATTACCTATATCATCCTATAAATAGAGGGTTTGGGCATCACATTGTATACACTTGAATACATAGAAGAAATAAGATTCTCTCATCTCCCTCTCTATATTGTTGTCTATTTTATTGTTCTATATTGTTACTTTGAGCTAAGTTTCGTTACAAAAACTAAAATAACTTCTTTTTCTTAATAATTCCCCTTATGCATTGATGGTGTTGTATTTCAGAATATAATTTTTGTAACTTCCTAATACCTACTATGAAGTTAAAACTGTATGATTCATGTTAGTAGTCCTTCATCCAATTTTTGTACTTTCTTTTTAAAAAAGGAAATTAGGATTTATTTTAAATCTTTTTTTTGTAAATATGAACTAAGTTTGATTTGGTGTTCCCTATGACTGATAAGATTTGTTTATTTAGTAGTACGATCTATGGCAGGAGCTATGATGTCTATGAGAAATAAAAGATAAGCTAAGCTCTTGGAAAAATGACAACAGAGAGATTAGAGTCATTATATTCTTTTATGGTTCCCTACATTTTCATCATCTTGCAATACTATTTCAAAGAAAAAGGTGTTAGTAGCTTCAATATATAAGAAGGGAAAATGGTACCCCTGACCTATATCCGAATTTTCAACTACATACTTTTTCTTTGTGGGAATCTTATTACCCTCCTAAACTTATTTTAAATATAATTAATTGCACCCTTAAAGCTGACAACCAAACTCTTGGCAAGTGGTGAGCTACACGCGCCCCCATATGTATTTTTAGTACTTTTTTTTATTCTTTCTTCTTTTTCTTATCCTTTTTTCTTATTTCTTATTATTCTCATTTTTTTTTTGGTTATTTCATTCTCTTTCTTTTTGTTTTGGTCACCGGCGGTATAAAATGGTGGTCGTCGGAATTTCACAAACACTATTTTTTCCGACGATCCGGCGACAGATTTTTATCCCGATCTAAGTGTGTTTTATATATATATATATATAAAGTGTAATTTATGTGTGGGAGGAAGAGCAAAAGAAATAAAAATGAATATAAGCTGAGAAAACTTTTTCTAGTTAAAATCTCAATATATCATTTTTTTCCTGCGTGGGAAGGTTTTTCGATGATGAATTTTTTCCCCCAAATCTGAGTGTATTTTGCTTTGCTTATGAATAGATCTTTTTGAGAGTTTACTTTGTGTGTGAAAAGAAAAAATGAAAGAAAAACGGTTAGACAAAGTCGCCGGTGAATGAATATCCGCCGGAATTAGAGAAAAAACGAAAAAAAAAAGTAAAAGAAAAAAGACAAAGAAAAAGGAAAAGGAAGAGGGAAAAAAAGTAAGAAAAACTGGTAAAAAAGAACAAAAAAATAATCTGAAAATCGTTTTTTCCTTCTTCTCACTCTCCTTTGGGAGAGTGAAATACACACACTCTGCCATGTCAGCGTTAAAGGTGCAAATAATTCTATTTATAATAAGTTTAGGGGGGTAATAGAATCCCTGTGAAGAAAAAGTGTATAGTTGAAAATCCTGGTATAGGTCAAGGGGTACTTGTGCATTTTCCATATAAAAGAAGCTAATATAACCATTTGTGGAAACCTAACATAAAGTTGACATAAAATGTAAATGATGGAATAAATTGTGGATGTACTTCATCGCACATTCTCTTTGATTTAGAAATTTATGTATCATAGCTTTAATTTGAAAAAAGATTCACTTAAAGTCCAGTAGATAAAAGGTCCTGGTCCAGTAGATAAAGGGTCTGCACGACCAAACTTAGGCTCATGACCGGCATCTAGGAGCAAGTGCCCCAAAGTAAGCCTCATCGGTATTTTACAGAAAATCGAACAGAGTTTCCCTGTTTTTGGACTATCCCAAAAATTTCCCCGTCTCAAATCAGCAACCAAACATCCTAATATCATACCAAACAATTGACAACTTGTCAATTAGCCAATACAAGTCTCCACCATAACTAAACCACCAAGTAACCACTAGAAATACTAATTTATCTCCAACTTTGATAAATGAGAACGATACTCAACATAAGACTAATAGCAAAATAATACTCATGACACTAAAAGAATGATTATGGAGCGACTCTAAGAATTCAAAGAAAAGAGTATAACAATATAATAAAATCTCCGCCCACGCGAACAAGTGCGAGGCTCACCAAGAACTATCAACCGGTGCGCTCTAATTAACGAAATCCTCGCCCGCGTCAACCGCTGTTTCTGTAAAAAAAAAATTAGCGGGGAATGAGTCGTTAGCTCAGTGAGTAATAAAACTTAACCACAACCGTTTTTATTTGGGGACAAGTCAGAAACATGCTAGTATCTCAAAGAGAAAATACATAAAAATGCCCTTTCAGAAATAATAAATAATTTTCAGTCTCATCACACTTTTCTTGTAGAATAATATAATTAACAATTCAGTAATAAGCTTGGTAACCACTGTATAATATCAGTATTCGCATTTTGGGAGGTTTCAATGAACGGGTCATGTAATCGGTATAACTGTGGACTTCTTCGCAAGAAGTCAAATATAACGGTAGTCCCTACCCGAGGGAAGTCGGTAACGGTATTCTAGTTCTACCTTCCCACTAGCGAGGACTATAACGGTAATCAGTAATTACAAGGTGCACCAGGTCTAACGAACCCGCCGTTAGCTACGGGATCCTTCAATGTCTACTCCCATTTATACTTGTCTCTGTAATACATATATACTCGTAGAAACTATTTTAAAACAATATAGGGCATTTCGGTTCTTATCAAATCATATAATTTCCTTTCGATAACAGTAAATTCAAGTAACTGTCAAACAGATCTAGTGACAACGAAAATATTTAAAATCACGGTATTCATCTCAAATAACTATTTCGGTATCATATCGAGTAAAAGACTTGTCCACATGCAACTCAAAATAATCGGTAACATATTCATATTAAAAATCATGTGTAAATCATGCAAGTTATGAAAACACAAATTGCGGTAAGATTACTACTCACAGTACTCGTGCCGAAATACCAACTGCTTCACCTCAAGCAACTCGTACAATTTCCTCCAATCAATCTATAATTATATAATATCGATCATCATGTTAATTTCTATGTTTAGGCTAATTCATAGCTAATTTAGAATACCCAACCCTCGAGGTTCCATATTTGACTCTTAATTTGCCCAGAATAATTCTTATTGGTATTTAATTTTTTATACCTTGTGAAACCCTTCAAATATATGAACTGGGATAAAAAAGAATTACCAGAAGAAAAG